CGTCTGCTAGCAACACGTCGGACTTAAAATGTGCTAAAAAATAGCAGTTTTTACACAACACGTCGGACTTTTTATTGTGTTATTGACGTCTGTTGTCCCTCGGGGTTTCTGCAGGAGGACACGGGTATTTATGAGTGGCGGAGGAAAACGAAAGAAAGTAAATAAATGTTTTGTGATCAGTATAATTTGACAAAACCACAGCAAACATGCTTTTGGCAATCCTTGTTAGTGTGAGAAAAAAGTGTGGAAATTAAAACGGACGTGTGTTAATAGGGAAACAGCCGGCGAGCTGTTTGCGCCGTGAGCGGTTCTGGTTCTGTTTGGGCCGCAGCCGCTCGCAGCGTTATCCTCCTAGTTTCTGTCTGGCTTGCAGGCTAGCAGATTCTCGCACGAGGGGAAAATCGGCTCAGGTTGTGCACAGGCATTTGTTTACTGTGAAGTAAAGTTGAAGTGCTGAAGTTTTGCAAACTAATTTTGAATAAAACTTGAAGAATAACTGGCAATTGCTTGCTCATTTTAAGAGGTCTTTCATAATTATAACATGCTATTTGATATCAAATCAAATCACTTTTATTGTCACGTCACATGTGCAGGTACACTGGTACAGTACATGCGAGTGAAATTCTTGTGTGTGAGCTTCACAGCAACAGAGTTGTGCAAAAATACAGTAATGTAAAAACAAGTAAAATATAAAAATGGCTAATCTAAGTATACAAATGAATAAAGTAAACAATAAGATAAGAGATATAAAATGTACAGAGGTTAGTATGTGCAAAACAGTGGCATTAATGTACAGTAGGGAGCGTGTAATGTTGGAACTTGGTGGAGCTCGCAACGAGGCAGCCATACTCGGCGCCATCTTGGCTCATCAATATATGATATAATGGTTTACAAACACAAAAGGGTAATTTATTAGAGTACTCGATTAATCGAAAAAAAGATTCGATAGAGTACTCGATTACAAAAATATTCGATAGCTGCAGCCCTAGACCGTATGACAGCTGTTAACGTTGGCTCTGCCCTACTTTACCTCTACATTACAGTTCCTTTATCCATGTCCATCCTAGAGCTCCTCTCTGACCTTCATGCTTATTTAGAGTAGCTGATTTTTAAAGTTAGCAGAGTTCATCCTTGGTAGTGGGTTCACTCACTCATTTAACCCTTCACCACTGAAATCAGTTTGTTCATTCCAGTCCTCCTAAATAATCCTCCAATCAACCAACTGGAATCCTTAAGGGTCCCGTAACGTCCATCCTGTCAGAACAGGCCTTGGGAGCCCAGGTGTTACTAGAACTAATGGTGTCTCCTCACCAGCGTGAGCCAGTCTGTGAAAGTTGGACTCCAAACATGAACTTTAAATTAATGCATTCATCTCCTCTTGTAGCACATTAACATGTTTTAAAAGGCATGTATCATGATATGTTACACCTCCCAGACCAAAGATAAGATAAAACATTATCATAAACACTATTAAGATGTCATTATTTATGAAATATAAGTTATTTTCCTGAGCCATTACTTCAGCCAAGATATAAGATGCATGGATTTGATGAAACCACGCTGTCTCATGCAGTTCTATATGTGTAACACACACACACACACATGCACGCGCGCACACGCAAGCGCGCGCACACACACACACACTGCATTCATCTCCTCTTGTAGCACATTAACATGTTTTAAAAGGCATGTATCATGATAAGTTACACCTCCCAGACCAAAGATAAGATAAAACATTATCATAGACACTATTAAGATGTCATTATTTATGAAATATAAGTTATTTTCCTGAGCCATTACTTCAGCCAAGATATAAGATGCATTTAATGAAACCACGCTGTCTCAAGCAGTTCTACATGTGTAACACACACACACACACACACATGCACGCTCGCACATGCACACGCAAGCGCGCGCGCACACACACACACACTGCAGCATGTTCGAATCATTTGAATGACTAATTTAACTACACTGAACTGCTTTTGTAATAATTTAATCTCTTATTCTGGACTAAAATAAAGAAACAAGCTAAATCATCACATATCTGTGGCATCAAGAAGCATCTTCTGAGTTCAAACACAGCGATGGAGCACAATGTTTACACCTGAACAATATCAGGATTAACTCACAGAGGCCTGCAGGTCTTCTGTTTTATGAGCAGAGCGCTGATAATCCGCTTGTTATGAGCGCTAAACGTTATTTTGCCGCTGCCGTGCGGAGCGGTAGGGAAACACATTTCAAACACGGAACCGAGTCCGGCTACCGAACCGAGCAGAATTCCGATGACGTCACACCGGTGCGCGAAAGTGCGGGTTCCAACCCACAGGAGGGAGAGAGGAGGTGAACAGCAAGTTGATCGACTGAACTTATGTCTTTGAGCAAAAGTGTACACCCACACACCCCCAACGGTTTAGACGTGGCGCTCATGCAGGTGTCTCTTTCCGTTCCGACGCTGCTTCACGTAATATTTGTAATTTATTTAGCCTATAATTTATTTTTACTCAGTAACGGATATGATTTAAAATGTAGCGAATTACAATTCTTTTTTAAAAACTTACTCAAGGAAAAGTAAAAGTACAGCTTTTAAAAACGACTTAAAAAGTATAAATATACAAAAAAGCTACTCAATTACAGTAACGTGAGTAAATGTAATTCATTACTTTCCACCTCTGGCCCTGGGCAACTGCCCACTTGCCCATATGTTTAATCCGGCCTTGATCCCAGTCACCGAACATTGCTAAACCAGACCTCTGCAGCTTCCAAAGAATGCTTTCCCTGACAATTACAGCAAAACTAGCGGTCTAATTTACAAGCCTACACAAACACCCCACTGAAATAAATTTGCACACACAGGCTATTAACATGGATTTAGAGCCAGCAGAATAGCAGAGAAGCTAACTTACAACAGCCAAATCTTATCATGTTTAAACACCGCCAAAAAACAAGCAAATTTGACTCACCTCAACAGAAGACAATGCGCTGCGTTAAATGCAAACAGAGGAACAGAGGTGAAGGAAGCTCTCCAAATATGGTTGATACCAACTTGGAAAACGAGGGTTAGGGAGAACTCTGAATATACACGAGGTACACTCAAAGCGGGTCTGTAAAAGACTGAAGCATTTTGGGCGCCTATTTCAGTTAAAGGTTGTCTCAACCAATCAGTGGGGCGGAAGACGGTTTTTGAAACCAAACAACCAATAGAACTCCGGGACTTGACGTCACTTTACTTTTTTCACAATTAGTAACGCTACAAACCGGTTTCACCTTGTTCAATAAAGTTTTGAAAAAAAAAAAACACTACAAATCGAAAATCAGCACGTAGAAACGTCTCCCATAGCGTAGGTGCTACTTACCACATCGCCAGATTTATGGTGTTCTTTTTTCCTGTCGAATAAACAATTATAAGTTCGCTGAACTTGCAGCCATTTTCCTACTGGTTTTACCGAATACTTTGACATCATGTTTCAATTCAAACACTGTAATGATTAACTGAGCATTAAACATAAATTTGATTTTTTTCCCCATCTCTTTAAATTACAATGCTGTGTATGTTTTACACGTGATTTTTTACTAGAAAAAGGAATCAGCTGCACAAATGATCATATCAGCACGCTGCAGGTTCCTACCCCATTTGCACATGCTAAAATATGTGACAGTTATTTTATGTGAGTAATTTTATACTAGGATATCAGTCTACTGTGCTTTGCCTCTTCTTGCAAGAACGCTTAATATATAGTCATTTCATTCTCCATGATAGAGCCTGACATTCAGCTTTTACAACATTCTACAGTACTCTCATATCTTGCATTAGAGTTTAATTATTTATACCGTTTTTAACGTACATCACATATAAAGGAGTTGATCCTTGCATATGACATTACCTTTAAAATGAAAAATGTACTAATATCAGTAATATATACACATTAAATAATACCAGAAGAATAACACACATGTCAAAATGTAGTCTGTAACCCATGTGAACTTTTCATTTTGTCCTGTAGGCTGTTGGATGGTAATTCCACACAGGGGGCTGGCCCACCTATCAGATAGGAGGAATAAAGGAATCAGATCAACAGCTCCTCACCACCAGATTGTATTCCTAAGGGGTAGCATCCAGTCAGTTTATCTTTTTGAAACTTTACCTCTTCATCTGCCTTTGTTCATTCCGTAGGATTGCAAAACTCCAGCAACTCATGACGCCTTAATAGCTACCATCCTCTCCTCCAGAACCACGTTTGAATCTGTTCCCTGGCTCCATGGATGGCCTCCCTTACTTAAATCATCTGGTCTTCAGTGCATGTCCTGTCCACACTCCAAATAAACACTGTAAGCTGTTTCCTAAATGCATCATCACCATTCTCTTATAGACTGTTGCTCATGTACACTTCCTGATTCCATATGGATCTTCTCACCTGCCCACAACTTTGCTTTCTCCACACTGAAATACATAATTTTTGCTACATGTAATAATGAAGACCCCAATGACAACAAGAAAATAAGGAACATTTGCATTACATAACCCTTTTGAAAACAAACATTTGTCAAATAACTTCTGTTAGCTATTATTTAATGAAGATTGTAGCCATGTTACACCTACTGAATATGATTTGATTTTCATGTTTCTGTTCAATTTCTGTAAATTACACAAAATGTCAACTGTAATTACATCACAATACATCATTGATGTCAAATTACAGTGCTGTAAAATTAACATTTGTCTTTCTAACATTTTTAACCATTTAACCATCCTTTGTCTATGGAATTACGAGCCTCACTTATGGTAATAACCATCACGATTAAACCCAGGTTTGTGTTGGTACCTGAGAATATCTCAAACAACAAGGACTCAATCACTACCAGAAATCACAACATTTATTCAGTTACAAACTAGGCTACACACAGGGAACACTAAGGACACAACAAGCTCATCCAGATTTGTCATGTAGGGCTGCAGTCTTTTAACCCACATGAAAGAATCACACACGGAGAGAGAGGTGAGTAAAATTATACATGTTTTATTATAAAGAAAAATAATAACAAAAAGCACTGATCCAAACTGGGCCAGGGGGAGTATTCCAATCCTAAAATAGAAGATAACAAAATGAATACTGACAACCAGGCAAACACCGGAGTAATGGTGGCATAGTCTTACTGTGTGAAGTGGGGTTTTGAGCAGGAGAGGGAGGCAAGTCAGGTCTGAGCTGGAGATGGTCTGGTGGAGAGGATTATCAGGCAGTGAAGTAATCCAGGACAGGTGAGAGGTGGAGAGCGGGAGACCAGAGGAGTTGAGCGGCGTTGGGTGAAAAATCCACTTCAGACAGCAGGAAGCTGAGGTAAGAATCCAGGGCTGGTACTGCAGCAGACAAGGAGAATAAAACTAAGCACGGGGGAGAAAAAACACGAGGCTAGATTTAAACAGGAACGAGGAGAGCTACAGTACCCAACAATAGAGTATCAACCGGCGCTGAAGTGTGGCAACACTGCTCCTTATATCCTCTGGCCTGGCTGATGGTCATCAGCTGCAGCTGTGGCTCTCCAACCTGCTCACCTGCAAACACTTACCCCTTCTTTCCACTGGAGCCGTCAGCAGCACGTTACTGCAGCAGCACGTCAAGCTGCTGCTTGGCCCTTCCCACGAGACGCGAAGCAGCAGGGGAGCAGCTGTCACCGACCGAGCACGAAGTCACACGAGTGACTTCGTCAGTAAACACAACAACAAGCAGGAGAAAACTACAACATGGTTTGTGTTTTATGTTCTGTCCGTTTTATAATCGCCAATACGGACCTGAAAAACAAAGGAGACCGCTAGCTAGGTGATAACTTCTCACGGGGCTGCAGTTAGTAACCTTTTTTAAAAGTAAAGCAACCAGAAGGCAGTACGTTTCTTTATTCTGAAAATCTCGGGAGCTTCTCTCCATTTCCGCGTCCGATTTCCTGTCTTTCCTTCCCCAAAAATGTCGAACTTGACCCGTTTCAGAGGCGTCGCGCGTAGAAAATATAACCGGAGCGTAAAGGCCGCGACATGCTGCTCCTGAGACGCGGCCGACTCGCACTGCTGACGGCTCCGGTGGAAAAGGTTCTGTTGACCACAGCGGCTCCTATCAGCAGCTATGACGTGCTGCTGCAGTAACGTGCTGCTGACGGCTCCTGTGGAAAGAAGGGGTTAAGAGCACAGCAGCAGAGGAAAAGCAGAGCCATGACAAGATCACAGTAAATCAACAGGTGTAAAAGGCCTCCACACCAAGCCTGAACAAGAGCACTGCAGCGCTGCAAACTCACTGTACACAGAACCACAAGACAGTACAGATGCTTGGGTCAGAGGCTGAAAACAGGGCAGATGAACAGTTTAATACCATGATGCAGTTCTTCTGTGAACTGACAGACAGGCAGTCTAAAAACACACAGCTCACCTGGACAAAGCAGCCAACCAGCAGAAGCATGGAGGGTGTTTTGACTGCAGTGAACACCTTAGCAGATAAAAGTTAACTTGTGACTCCACGTGCATATCACACATGTGAAGTTATTTTTACACTGAAATACTTGAGTTTGTAGCAGGCATGCTTTTAATAAATGACTTTAAGAGTCAGAAGTACTTTGTCTCTGAGTGATGTCAGGTAGATGCAGTTTACTCACATTAAATATAAACTACTGGCTCTCATCCTCAGGTGTGTAATCTACTCCAGTTACTCAGGTGTGTAATGTACTACAGCTACTTAGGTGTGTAATCTACTCCAGTTACTCAGCTCTATAAAAGTCCACATTACAGCAGGAAGTGGATCACATTTAACAAAGGTCACACACTCAAAAATGTTGGGCAGCTTAAAGCACACACACCACTTTCTACATTTTAACCTCACATGTGACACATTTTAGAAACTCTCACATGTTTTCTAACCCATCAGTCACATATAGCACTTGCAATGAAGCTCTGTCACCTTAGAGGCTTGCAGATTTCATAGTGACTTGAATGTTCACACCAAGCTTAGTCAGGTAATGGGATATGTATTTAGCATGTAAACATCACTTTACTTCCAAAGGAACATTTTACCTTTAATAGTGTGAATTCATATCAACACATATGTTCTCTCTGATAAACATCCAACATAGCTGTGGATGTTGGCTGTTTTCACTCTTCTCTGGACGCTCACTGAGGTTAGGAAGCACACAGCAGCTGTTTTTAAACTACAGCAGAAAAACAATAGAATACAGTTAAAATGTATAATCATACAAATGCATACAATCAACGTGTTTAATAGGGTGAACTTACACGTCGTGTTTTGTTTCTCTGCCGCGCTATTTTTCTTCCTTCCTACATAACGGACCATCTCTCCTGCTGGATTCTTCATCTCCCGACTCTCTCTGCGTGCTCTAGCAGCCTCTACGTCATACCTGTGATTTGATTGCTCATCAAAGGTATTCTCATAAAGCACGTAATGAGCACGGTCACCTCCTGAGCCCCATTACCAGCTGTGAGCTCAGCTTCATGTTACTGTAATTCCAGCTCTTAAAACCTTTTAGTTCTGCCATTGTTCAACTCTGCCTGGCCTTGTTTATCTTTATCTTTGAATAAATTCGTCAAAAAAGGTCGTATCTGCACAAAACATTTTCAGGACAAGCTTAGCTTTCCGTATCTGTAAAGATTTTGCAGCTATTTTGTTTGAAATTACCCAAAAAAAATAATGTAATAACAGAAAAAAACTGATTTCATTTTTCTTCAGATATGTATGAATAGAAAATACAGATGTACATGAATAAAAAATCTGAAATACCAAAACTCAAACCTAACATGGATTACAACCTTGTATTGATCTTTTTACATTTACAACTTTCAGTGTCTGACTTTCAGGTGATATTGTCTGTCAGTGTTCAGGCGTTTTTAGCTGCTGTGGTCTTCTGCAGAGCAATTCCTGTCCTGCTGCAGACAAAATACTTTCTTGCATTCTTAGCACATCCAGGGAGTGCTTTTTTGCACTGCGTGTACCTGGTTTATCCATGACGGGAAGCTGATAGCCAGGAGTTCTTCTGGGGATAAATCTGGGTGGCGTGGGTTGACAGTACCTGGGTTTGACTTTGTTGTCCAGGAGTCTAGAAGATGTGGAGCATCTCCAGCAAGATCCTTCCTCTGACACTGCCCATTGCTGGTGAATGGCTCATCAGAAGAATCTCTAAAATTAAAAATATATCAAATCATATAACATTTAAATTTTCAAGCAGTAAATACTGGTAAATGAAAACTGAATAAAATAAAATTAAACACAGAACTAAAGTTAAAAATATTTTTGAACTGTAGATAAACTTACTGCAGCTGTGATGGGAAATCATCTTCACTCGCACCTGAATCCTCAACCACAGATGTATATGGAGGTTTTGTTTTCCTGGAAGTAGCAGTAGTAGTATAATAGAATAGTAATAGTATTAGCACAAATACTGGACAACAAAAACTGGAACGTCTTTAGTGGAAATATTTAGTGCAGAGAAACTTACTGCGTTTGTGACGGAAAAACGATGAGGGCACATCTTGCTCCTCATCAACAGATCTTGAGGAACATTTCCTATTTCTAGAAGATTTCCTGATTTATTTCATTATTTACAAAAACGAATCTAACATAAAACAATAAAAAGCCCCCGTGAAAAATGCATCTGAAAAAAAAAAATACGGGTGGTAAAACAAAAACAAACATGGCAAAAAATGTCACAAAAGTCTCAATGTATGCTAAATTACTAAATGCAAACATAAAGTACGATACTTACCGAAAATATTTATTATATCAGTATAAGAGAACAGTGGCGGCTGGTGAAAAATATTTTTGGTGGGGCTGTGCTATTTTTTTTAACAAACTTATGCTTTCTGACCTTTGTGCACAACTTCACTATTTCCTGAATTAAGCACAGCTCTTTTATTTCCTGTCTTACATTATTGGACAAAGGGATTAATCCACGTGTGTCTGACTATTGGCACACTGCCTTGCGGACCAAGGTTGAAAAATACTGCATTAAATTGCACATAAAATAACATGACCATATATGGTCCACATCCACATTACCGTTTGTGAAACTAACATACTGGAGAATTTCATCACAATAATATTAAATAAACAAGTATGTACCTGATCTTTTGCATGCTGTTGGTGAAGCTCTGGATGACCCCTGTGATGGAGACAGAGTCAATGTTCCTCTTCTGCAGTTGGTTGAACAGCATGTCCACATGTGGCATGATCTTGTGAAACAATGCCAGCAGAAAGCAGAAATCTTCTTCCTCCAGCATTCTCACAAAGCCTCCTGCCTCTCTCTCAGTGACTGGATCAAAGTCATCCGAGTCTCTGATCTGGAAAAATCTGAGGAGGTCATCCTTGTGCTCATACACTGTGTTGACATCTCTCTCTTGGACAAAATGTGCCGGTTCTGATCCACTTCTTCATTGTGTTTCTTCACTGCAAGCCCGCGTCCCTCGTCTCGAGCTGCATGGCTATGTTAGCTCTGCCTAGCATAGCTAGCTTCACCGTGTTGTCCATGTGCGCCCGGGATAACTCATGTTTCTTCACCTTCTCAGAAAAATGTTTCATGTCCGTAACTCCTGACTCAATCCATGCCTCATCTGTCACATATGTTTGGAAAGCAAAATAACGCATTAGCGTGATTGCATCCAGCTAGCCAAGCCTTCCCAGAAGCCTCGTGTGTACAGTTTACCTCTCTCCTCCTCCTGCTGGCTTATCTTTACGTCGGGCTGATCTGGTCCAAGCTCTTTGACATTAAGTTTTTCCACCATAGTTCTCCTCTCGAACTGGAGAAGAGACCGAACTGAATTCAGTGGCTGCTGAGATCCGGTATCCATGCTGCTGCTGGTTGTAGGCGCACTGGCTTCCATGTTTATTCCGTATGCGTCACGACCATCACGAGTCACGACCAAAAACGTGCTGGAGTAGATCTCCGAGTTCTACCGAGCACTAGCGAAAGCCTTTGGCGGTAGCTCTATCGCCCGTCATGCTTCTGAAACAACGTCGACGCTGATTGGATACATTCCCATTCCTACCCTTTGATTTTCTTGTCAGCAATTGGACGACTGGTCTCGTCCCGTTTGGCCGATTGAAACACAACACACAGCCTCCACCGCTCGGCAGAGCTCGGCAGAGATCGGCAGAGACCAAAATAGAAATATATATATATGATTTATTTTTGTTACAAAACACACAATTAACTTAGAATATGTGATTATTGTTAATTGTATTTATTTATTTTTTAAAATAAAAAGCCTTCTGGCTAATTCTTAGATTTAAAAGAATGGTGTTGATGCTCAAACTATTTTCAAATAAACAATTCTTTAGGATTCAACGGTGTTTGTATGTGTGTATTTTAGTTTGCATCTAATGTTGAAACTACAAAGATTTAATTAGTGCACAATCGAATTGTTTCTGACAATCACATACAAAGAAAATTTAAAATTTATTATTTAGTACAAAAAAACAGCAGATTTACATTTTTTTCGTACACTAATGCAAAATCAGTTTTACATATTCTAGCAAATGACAGTAGCACTGTTTCTTGTCTGCATGGGATCATGGGAGTTGATAATTTTTGGTGTGTTTTACAACGCTCTTACAGAGGTTTGTTAGAGCAGCACACACAATCACATCTAGAATGTTGAGTTGTGACACAGGAATTACTGTTTGAAAAATCTTACATTTCTTCCAGCGTCCTATTACTCATTCAACGTGTATCCTGACACGAGACAGTTGTCTTGATGAGTCTACCTCCTGAGCAGAGAGTTGCTTTTTCCCTTTTGTGAAATGACGTATACGGAGAGTGGCTCCACAAGCGGCAAGTTCATCTCGGATTTGAAATCCTCTATCAGCTAAAATCTCATCATTGTGTTCTAAAAGACCAACCCCGACTCTTTTGTTATTTGTTTGTCTGAAACCCTTACACCCCATCCAGGTGACAGAAAGGAAATTGCTCCAACTGGGGTGATGCCAATCAAATATTTAATTGTGTTGCTGTGTTTGTAATTTGACCATGTCTGGGCCCTAGCAGTTAGATTGCTAGGTCTAGAAATGAACATTTCTGTACAGTCTATTATGCACCGACATCGTTTGAAATTCCGTCTGAAAACTTTGGGCATGCTCTTTAGTACGGCTCCCTTACTTGGCCATTTAATGAGTGGTTTAAGTATTACAGACACGGCAGGTATCCAGCTTCGACAAATATTTGATATAGTTGTTTTAGAAACATTAAATCTGTATGCCAAATCCGTGTTGCTTAGACCCAGTGTTAATTTCATTAGTACAACCAATAGATGATCTTGAGCGGTTAGTTTTTGGCAAATTATCTCCACACTATCTGTTACTTTTGTTAGGAGCCAATCAAAGACAAGAGTTGTAAGTCCTGTGAAAAAAACAGTGCTCCCCTGTTGCACCTAATATTTGCATTGGAAAACGCTTAATTTGTCAGCTCCTCTTTAAGCTTGCAATTTTCTGCCTTAAGTTTTTCAAACTCCAGCTGCAGGTTGACATGGTTTTTATGAAGCCCAGCATATCTTTGTTGTAGGCCATCTTATTCTCTCCTTGGAACAGGGAGGTCCTCTTCAGCTTTAACACAGAAATATGAAAAGTTATCAAATGCACCAACAAGTCCACACAAATATTTTTATTGTAACAGAAAATACAAAATCCTTACCGGCATGGTGAGCCAATGATGGTTGCTGATCTGTATTCTCTGAAGCAGCCAGCTGATTTGATGGCATGCAAGACGTTTCATCCCTTCTCCTTTTCCGTTGATACCTTAATGTAACAGGTCTAAATTACTTAACAGTTACACAAGTCAAGAGCCAAGATATAATAACACTGAACATCATGAATAGCAAGAATTTCTAAATATTAAATATATCTGTGATGGGAAGGTGTAAACATTACCTGTCCATCTTTGCATGGGGGTTTGGACTTCGCTTTGTGTACGTAAACACAGAAGGCACAAAATCAGGACTCGAGGAGTCCAATGACACCTCGCCTGTAAATAAATAGACTGCTTAAAAGCAAACCAGCAAACACAACTTACTTTATTTTATAGAACACAAGTTAACCAGCTTTCTGGTGTAATCTTAGTACATAATAACCTTACCTGATATAAAATGGGCGCTACAAACTCGAGCATTTTGGATCGTGTTTTCAGTCCAGTTTTCATCAACCCTTTTGATGGCCTGCAGCCACAGACGCCTCCAATTTTGTTGAAATGGATTTGCTCCCTTCGGAATTCTGTAAAGTTTCAGTCCACTGCTTGAAGAGAAGCGATTCTGGCATCCATACACGCAACAACCCGACATTTTTATGTGCTCAGAACTTCAAAACAAAGGGTTTAAAACGCTATTTTAGTATCGAGTGTGAATGAGGAACCCTTCACTCTCGTTGCCAGGCTGCGCACGCAACTTTTGATGACGTAAGTAGTAAAAGGGTCTATAGACATGATTATGTAGACGCCACATTTGACGCTGGAGAACGTAAAAACAACGCCGCCATATTGGATGGGTCTCCTCACTCTCCAAAATCAAAGCAGACTGAGCAGCAATGCCCGTTTATGTGCAGCCGTTGGTTACAACAACCGTCGTACTATTGACAAAATATCATATGAGATTACTACTTGCTTTTCTACCCTATCAGTTAGATATTTCTATTAAAAATTATTACATATCGTGGTTAAACACATTTATATTTTAATTATAATACCATACCTTGTGTCTATAATTTAATTGTCATGCCATACCTTGTGTCTGCTTTTGTGAAAAAGCTTCATAAAATGTGTTTTTTTACTTGGGTCAGCACCTTCCTCAGCATGTACAGGGGCAAATGGAGAAACATCTCAAATGGCAACCAGCCACTACAACATCTCCAATAGGCGGCACCAGTCCATTGGGCATCTATGTATATATATATCTATGGTCTACTAAGCCTAAACCCTCCTCCTCACTCCAGATGTCTTAACCTAGATTAACACTGATTCTGCACAAATAAAAGCTCAACAATGGTCAATCCCCATACCCAATAAAATGCAAAATAAAGATAAAGAACACTTAGCTCTATTTGATGTTCAATACACCATCCCCACATCTAAGCTTTCTTAGCTTGGCTCCAAGTGGCACGATCCACTGGCTCAGGACAGTGACATCTTCCATACATGGCATTATGTTCCCCCACAACTGGAAACAGAGGGTCTCTCCTAAAATTCATATTCACTATCCATGTTGCCTTCCTATAACAGGAACCTGACCCTACAGCCTCTAGCTTTCTTCCCAACCTTAAATAGCAAACTGACATCACAAGACCCCACCACTGAGTACTACAATAGTTGCTTGGCTAGGCTACATCCTACTTCACTTCACCTAATCTGCTCTCCAGACATATCTGCACTTAATATGGCCCTTCCCTTATCCTGTCCACACCAGACATTTCAGCTGCACAGCTACAGTCACTTAACCTCCCTACCATCATCAAAATTCACTCTTGAGTCCTCTATAAAATAGGTTAATATTCATTTAAACATTAATTTGGCCACAGTTAAGCTCAACTCCCCTTTTCTTATGTGATGAGGAGGAGAGGATGAGGCCTTCAAGTGGAAAAGCTAATAATGCCACACTGCCCTTTTCAAACCACAACAGCCATACCCTCTCCTGGTCCTGGAAAAGCAGTAGCTAGCATGTTTTAGTTTTAACTGTGCTTCAACACACCTTATTTCAATCAGCAGGTGATTTACAGGCTTTTGAAAAACCTGATGACCTTCTGCTCAATGATTCAACAACAGAATTAGCTGTGTTGGAGTACAGAAACATGGATGATAACTTTGGAAGATAACCACAGGAGGGACGACTTTTCCATGACTGAGCTTGATTGCAGATTTGCAGCTTGACATGTCCTGTTTGTCCCCTCTGACTGGTATCTGTTGAAAAAAGCATAACATCTCAACTAATCACAGTTTTTAAAATGTAACATACAAAAGACATAATGAGCTTGTATAGTGCTATGATGGAGAATCCTATGAATTAATTTCTAATGTCAACTGAGTTTATACAATCTTGTTGATTCACCTTTCAGCCCACTGTAAAATAAAACGAAACCAGCTACTACATACATTTAAATAAAACTGATTCTGGTTTAACCTACGTTCATTAGTATTTCTGTGTGAGACAAATGTGAGAAACGAAATAACAAAAAAACAAGTTATGAAGAGGGATGAATCACGCCTCTAGTACATGAGCTCGCCCACAATAATGACATAGGATCTGGGTGCCGGCAAAAAATACAGATAAGACATGAAGCATGTTTACAGTATCTGAAGTCCATTCAGTAAGTCCCTACATGTTACCAGATCACGTCACACATATTGATGATGTTAGCACAACACATAGATTTATTGGGTTGAAACTTACACTAATGATTATTTTATAGAACAACACTCATTGGACCAACTTGTGGTGCAATTGCCATTTATTAAATTGCAAACTGATAAGCTGTGCTGAGGTCAGAATGGCATTATACTTGGCTTGTGACATCACGTGACTTCACCAAACACATTGATGTGGTTGTTGGTTCAAATCCCTGTAGCTCCACCCATTTTAGCTCACTGTCTCTAGAAAGAACACACAATGTCTGATTGATGCCAAAATAACAGAAAACGATCTTTGTCAACCAAAGCTGACCTCAATGGGATTATTCTGTGATTGGTCACAATGCCCCCTGGATAAATTTAGCCTACTATAACTTCAAAAATCATGATCAGAAAAGCATTAAAGGTGGTCTGTGTCATCACACCACCAGTGAGATAAAGATAGAGCATGCCCTAGTGGTGAGATGTGTAATTTAATGGTGGGCTCAGAGAGGATGCTGAGGCTGGGTGAAGTGCAGACGAGGTGACCATTAGCGGTTACTTTTTGTCGGGGTGGTCAACGTTTCTGTTCCGCGGACGTGCCCTGGCGCCCCGGGCTGCGGGCCAAGCCGGAGCGGCGCGTAGCTGCGAGGGCCGAACGACGCTGCTTGCAGCTTTAATTAGGCCCGAGCAGCGAAAGCGCTGCGAAGGCCTCTTGTTTTTGCTCTGATTATTATTATTTTTTGTTATTCCGTGCCCCCTTTGAACAGCTTTTTGGGGACCTTAACATACCCCAAAACTCACAATATTTTGCACACTTGTCAGGCCTGGTGAAAAATTTGATATTTTAAAGGTCCCAAAAAAATCGCAAAGAAAATGGCTGAACAGCGCCCCCTACAAAGTGAAAAAAACCCCTCTCCATAAAGCTTAGTTTATCGTACAGTTATGAAATTTGGTACACTTGTAGTACTCAACAGTCCGCACAGAAAAGTCTCTTGCAACCATGGTCAATATCAAACAGGAAGTCGGCCATTTTGGGTTGAAATGGCGATTTTTTGCCGTTTTTGCCGTTTTTAGGGTCCGTTTCTGATTGGATTGCTCGATCATTTTTCGCACGATCGTCTCAAAAATTGTGTAAAATTGCTCAGAAGGGATGGGCGAACAAAATGAGATAAGGATTCTGAGTTTTCGTATATGTTGAAGGGGCGGAGCCAGGCCTCGAAGTTTGACTACTCGCCAAAAATATTTAAATTGCTATAACTTCATAACTGAATGGAATAGAGTTACCAAACTTTCTGTGGTCATTCGTCATCCACCCACAAAGTAAATTGAAAGGTCGGATGATGACATCACACAAGCCCCGCCCCCTCAGGACCAAAAAGATCAAGTTTTACTGTGAAAGGTCCCAAATTGCCCCATTTCACTTAATCACCACAAATTTGTAGCTGGTAACTCAAGACAAGTGGGGGTTGCTTGGCGTCACTTTATGGGAGTTTTCGGCAGAGGGCGGGGCTGTGGTGGCGCGGCGAATTCAGGCGTACCGCCTTGGCCTTACGTTTGCCTCCCATTTCGTCATTTCCAAAGATATCGTCACGAAACTTCTTGTGAGTGATCCTAGTCCGGCCCCCCAAAAGATCTGATGTGAACATCTGGTGGGCGTGGCCTATTTTCTGAAATAGCGCCCCCTAGGACCATTAAAACTATTAGCCCCAAGCCATGCTTTGACTGAGGATTACGAAATTTGGTACACTAATGTGGTGTCTCAGGACCTACAAAAAAGTCTCTTGGAGTCAAGTTCAAAGTCGCACAGGAAGTCGGCCATTTTGGATCAAGTACGCGATTTAGTGGTTTTCGCACACGTTGTTTGGAGAGTGATGCTCCGTCGCCCTTTTCACCAATCTCCTTCAAACTTCTGCTATATACCCTTAAGACATAGGGGAAAAAATTCAACCGTCGGATTTTTCAAAAGTTGAAAGGTGTGGGCGTGGCTAAGCCTCAAACTTTGACCTGTCGCCACGCTACTCTTTTTTTCACAGCTCCCTACTGGACTCCTTTTACCCAATCACCAGGATTCTGTGGCAAACAGCAGTAGACAAGTTGAGGTTACTTGGTCTCCAGTACTGGCAGGTTTTGAAAAAAGGCGGGGCTTTGGGACCATGGCGAAAATCGCCATCACGCCATGGAAATACGTTTGTCTCTCATTTCTTCAGTTATCGTGATATTGCTACGAAACTTCTGGTGAGTGATCCTAGTCTGAGCTCCAAGAGAAATAGACAGCTGAATTTTGTGGGCGTGGCCTATGTTTTGAAATAGCGCCCCCTAGGACCATTTAAACTATTAGCCCCAAGCCATGCTTTGACTGAGGATTACGAAATTTGGTACACTAATGTGGTGTCTCAGGACCTACAAAAAAGTCTCTTGGAGTCAAGTTCAAAGTCGCACAGGAAGTCGGCCATTTTGGATCAAGTACGCGATTTAGTGGTTTTCGCACACGTTGTTTGGAGAGTGATGCTCCGTCGCCCTTTTCACCAATCTCCTTCAAACTTCTGCTATATACCCTTAAGACATAGGGGAAAAAATTCAACCGTCGGATTTTTCAAAAGTTGAAAGGTGTGGGCGTGGCTAAGCCTCAAACTTTGACCTGTCGCCACGCTACTCTTTTTTTCACAGCTCCCTACTGGACTCCTTTTACCCAATCACCAGGATTCTGTGGCAAACAGCAGTAGACAAGTTGAGGTTACTTGGTCTCCAGTACTGGCAGGTTTTGAAAAAAGGCGGGGCTTTGGGACCATGGCGAAAATCGCCATCACGCCATGGAAATACGTTTGTCTCTCATTTCTTCAGTTATCGTGATATTGCTACGAAACTTCTGGTGAGTGATCCTAGTCTGAGCTCCAAGAGAAATAGACAGCTGAAGTTTGTGGGCATGGCCTATATTCTTAAATAGCGCCCCCTAGAGCCATTAAAACTGTCAGCCCCAAGCCATGCTTTGACTGAGGATTACGAAATTTGGTACACTAATGTGGGGTCTCAGGACCTACAAAAAAGTCTCTTGGAGCCAAGCGTAAAGTCGCACAGGAAGTCGGCCATTTTGGTGCAAGTACGTGATTTAGTGGTTTTCGCACACATTGTTTGGAGAGTGATGCTCCGTCGCCCTTTTCACCAATCACCTTCAAACTTCTGCAATACACTCTTAAGACGTAGGGGAAAAAATTCAACCGTCGGATTTTTCAAAAGTTGAAAGGTGTGGGCGTGGCTAAGCCTCAAACGTTGACCTTTCGCCATTACTTTACTTGACTTAATAACTCCCATGTGCATGATCAGATCTTTTTCGAACTTTGTCTGTGTGATCATTGACCATATCTGTAAACAATGACAATGTGGACAGCTGACATCACCTAAGCCCCGCCCCCTGACTACAGGAATTTATTTTTTATGCTGAAATGCCCATACTTGTCCCCTCTAATTTAGTCAACATGACCCTAAGGTCATGCACTGTCTTCATGATGCTGTAATGACCATTCAGATCTGATAGCTTTCCAGAAAGGGAGGGGCTTTGATGCCATGGCGAGTTCTGGCGTAACGCCGAAACCTTACAATTCAATTTAATGGTGAGCTCAGAGGGGATGCTAAGTCAGGGTGAGGTGCGGACTAGGAGGCCATTTGCGGTTTCTGGTGTCGGGGTGGTTGACGTTTCTGTTCTGCAAGACATGCCCTGGTGCCCCGGGCTGCCAGCCAGGCCGGAGCGGCGCGGAGCTGCGAGGGCCGAACGACGCTGCTTGCAGCTTTAATTAGGCCCGAGCAGCGAAAGCGCTGCGAAGGCCTCTTGTTTTTGCTCTGATTATTATTATTATTATTTATTATTCCGTGCGCGAAATGAATGGCTTTTTGGGGACCTTAACATACCCCAAAACTCACAATATTTTGCACAATTGTCAGGCCTGGTGAAAAATTTGATATTTTAAAGGTCCCAAAAAAATCGCAAAGAAAATGGCTGAACAGCGCCCCCTACAAAGTGAAAAAAACCCCTCTCCATAAAGCTTAGTTTATCGTACAGTTATGAAATTTGGTACACTTGTAGTACTCAACAGTCCGCACAGAAAAGTCTCTTGCAAGCATGGTCAATATCAAACAGGAAGTCGGCCATTTTGGGATGAAATGGCGATTTTTGGCCGTTTTTGCCGTTTTTAGGGTCAGTCTCTGATTGGATTGCTCGATCAATTTTCGCACGATCGTCTCAAAAATGGTATAAAATTGCTCAGAAGAAATGGCCGAACAAAATGAGACAAGGATTCTGAGTTTTCGTATATGCTGAAGGGGCGGGGCCAGGCCTCGAAGTTTGACTACTCGCCAAAAAAATTAAAACTGCTATAACTTCATAATTGAATGGAATAGAGTTACCAAACTTTCTGTGGTCATTTGTCATCCTCCCACAAAGTAAAATGAATGGTCGGATGATGACATCACACAAGCCCCGCCCCCTCAGGACCAAAAAGGTCAAGTTTTACTATGAAAGGTCCCAAATGGCCCCATTTCACTCAATCCCCACAAATTTGTAACTGTTAACTCAAGACAAGTGGGGGTTGCTTGGCGTCACTTTATGGGAGTTTTCGACAGAGGGCGGGGCTGTGGCGGCGCGGCGAAGTCAGGCGTACCGCCGTGGCCTTACGTTTGCCTCCCATTTCGTCATTTCTAAAAATATCGTCACGAAACTTCTTGTGAGTGATCCTAGTCCGGCCCCTCAAAAGAACTGATGTGAACATCCGGTGGGCGTGGCCTATTTTCTGAAATAGCGCCCCCTAGGACCTTTAAAACTGTCAGCCCCAAGCCATGCTTTGACTGAGGATTACGAAATTTGGTACACTAATGTGGTGTCTCAGGACCTACAAAAAAGTCTCTTGGACCCAAGTGCAAAGTCGTACAGGAAGTCGGCCATTTTGGTCCAAGTACGCGATTTAGTGGTTTTCGCACACGTTGTTTGGAGAGTGATGCTCCGTCGTCCTTTTCACCAATCTCCTTCAAACTTCTGCCATATGCTCTTAAGTCATCGGGGAAAAAATTCAACCGTCGGATTTTTCAAAAGTTGAAAGGTGTGGGCGTGGCTAAGCCTCAAACTTTGACCTTTCGCCACGCCACTCTTTTTTTCACAGCTTCCTATTGGACTCCTTTTACCCAATCACCAATAATCTCTGGCAAATAGCAGTAGACAACTTGAGGTCACTTGGTATCCAGTACTGGCAGGTTTCGAGTAAAGGCGGGGCTTTGGCAGCATGGCGAAAATCACCATCACGCCATGGAAATACGTTTGCCTCTCATTTCTTCAGTTATTGTGATAGCGCTACGAAACTTCTTGTAAGTGATCCTTGTCTGACCCCCAAGAGACAAACATAGCTGAAATTTGTGGGCGTGGCCTATTTTCTTAAATAGCGCCCCCTAGGACCATTTAAACTAATAGCCCCAAGCCATGCTTTGACTGAAGATTACGAAATTTGGTACACTAATGTGGGGTCTCAGGACCTACAAAAAAGTCTCTTGGAGCCAAGCGTAAAGTCGCACAGGAAGTCAGCCATTTTGGTCCAAGTACGCGATTTAGTGGTTTTCGCACACGTTGTTTGGAGAGTGATGCTCCGTCGCCCTTTTCACCAATCACTTTCAAACTTCTACTATATACTCTTAAGACGTAGGGGAAAAAATTCAACCGTCGCATTTTTCAAAAGTTGAAAGGTGTGGGCGTGGCTAAGTCTCAAACTTTGACCTTTCGCCATTACTTTACTTGACTTAATAACTCCCATGTGCAAGATCAGATCTTTTTCAAACTTTGTCTGTGTGATCATTGACCATATCTGTAAAAAATGACAATGTGGACAGCTGACATCACCTAAGCCCCGCCCCCTGACCACAGGAAGTCTATTTTTTTATGCTGAAATGCCCATATTTGTCCCCTCTAATTTAGTCAACAAGACACCAAGGTCATGCACTGTCTTCATGATGCTGTATTGACCATTCAGATCTGATAGCTTTCCAGAAAGGGAAGGGCTTTGATGCCATGGCGAATTCTGGCGTAACGCCGCACCCTTACAATTCAATTTAATGGTGAGCTCAGAGGGGATGCTGAGTAAGGGTGAGGTGCGGACTAGGAGGCCATTTGCGGTTTCTAGTGTCGGGGCGGTTGACGTTTCTGTTCTGCCAGACGTGCCCTGGTGCCCCGGGCTGTCGGCCAGGCCGGAGCGGCGCGGAGCTGCGAGGGCCGAACGACGCTGCTTGCAGCTTTAATTATTATTATTATTTATTATTCCGTGCGCGAAATGAATGGCTTTTTGGGGACCTTAACATACCCCAAAACTCACAATATTTTGCACAATTGTCAGGCCTGGTGAAAAATTTGATATTTTAAAGGTCCCAAAAAAATCGCAAAGAAAATGGCTGAACAGCGCCCCCTACAAAGTGAAAAAAACCCCTCTCCATAAAGCTTAGTTTATCGTACAGTTATGAAATTTGGTACACTTGTAGTACTCAACAGTCCGCACAGAAAAGTCTCTTGCAAGCATGGTCAATATCAAACAGGAAGTCGGCCATTTTGGGATGAAATGGCGATTTTTGGCCGTTTTTGCCGTTTTTAGGGTCAGTCTCTGATTGGATTGCTCGATCAATTTTCGCACGATCGTCTCAAAAATGGTATAAAATTGCTCAGAAGAAATGGCCGAACAAAATGAGACAAGGATTCTGAGTTTTCGTATATGCTGAAGGGGCGGGGCCAGGCCTCGAAGTTTGACTACTCGCCAAAAAAATTAAAACTGCTATAACTTCATAATTGAATGGAATAGAGTTACCAAACTTTCTGTGGTCATTTGTCATCCTCCCACAAAGTAAAATGAATGGTCGGATGATGACATCACACAAGCCCCGCCCCCTCAGGACCAAAAAGGTCAAGTTTTACTATGAAAGGTCCCAAATGGCCCCATTTCACTCAATCCCCACAAATTTGTAACTGTTAACTCAAGACAAGTGGGGGTTGCTTGGCGTCACTTTATGGGAGTTTTCGACAGAGGGCGGGGCTGTGGCGGCGCGGCGAAGTCAGGCGTACCGCCGTGGCCTTACGTTTGCCTCCCATTTCGTCATTTCTAAAAATATCGTCACGAAACTTCTTGTGAGTGATCCTAGTCCGGCCCCTCAAAAGAACTGATGTGAACATCCGGTGGGCGTGGCCTATTTTCTGAAATAGCGCCCCCTAGGACCATTAAAACTGTCAGCCCCAAGCCATGCTTTGACTGAGGATTACGAAATTTGGTACACTAATGTGGTGTCTCAGGACCTACAAAAAAGTCTCTTGGACCCAAGTGCAAAGTCGTACAGGAAGTCGGCCATTTTGGTCCAAGTACGCGATTTAGTGGTTTTCGCACACGTTGTTTGGAGAGTGATGCTCCGTCGTCCTTTTCACCAATCTCCTTCAAACTTCTGCCATATGCTCTTAAGTCATCGGGGAAAAAATTCAACCGTCGGATTTTTCAAAAGTTGAAAGGTGTGGGCGTGGCTAAGCCTCAAACTTTGACCTTTCGCCACGCCACTCTTTTTTTCACAGCTTCCTATTGGACTCCTTTTACCCAATCACCAATAATCTCTGGCAAATAGCAGTAGACAACTTGAGGTCACTTGGTATCCAGTACTGGCAGGTTTCGAGTAAAGGCGGGGCTTTGGCAGCATGGCGAAAATCACCATCACGCCATGGAAATACGTTTGCCTCTCATTTCTTCAGTTATTGTGATAGCGCTACGAAACTTCTTGTAAGTGATCCTTGTCTGACCCCCAAGAGACAAACATAGCTGAAATTTGTGGGCGTGGCCTATTTTCTTAAATAGCGCCCCCTAGGACCATTTAAACTAATAGCCCCAAGCCATGCTTTGACTGAAGATTACGAAATTTGGTACACTAATGTGGGGTCTCAGGACCTACAAAAAAGTCTCTTGGAGCCAAGCGTAAAGTCGCACAGGAAGTCAGCCATTTTGGTCCAAGTACGCGATTTAGTGGTTTTCGCACACGTTGTTTGGAGAGTGATGCTCCGTCGCCCTTTTCACCAATCACTTTCAAACTTCTACTATATACTCTTAAGACGTAGGGGAAAAAATTCAACCGTCGCATTTTTCAAAAGTTGAAAGGTGTGGGCGTGGCTAAGTCTCAAACTTTGACCTTTCGCCATTACTTTACTTGACTTAATAACTCCCATGTGCAAGATCAGATCTTTTTCAAACTTTGTCTGTGTGATCATTGACCATATCTGTAAAAAATGACAATGTGGACAGCTGACATCACCTAAGCCCCGCCCCCTGACCACAGGAAGTCTATTTTTTTATGCTGAAATGCCCATATTTGTCCCCTCTAATTTAGTCAACAAGACACCAAGGTCATGCACTGTCTTCATGATGCTGTATTGACCATTCAGATCTGATA